CCCCTGCGGCGTCGTGAACTCCCCTGCCCCAGCGCCACCCTTTAGCGGGGACGTAGGTGTCCCGGGTACCCCACAGGGACCCCCGCCATGGGGATGGGGATGTCCCATGGGGATCCCACCTTGGGGATGGGGACGTCCCATGGGAACCCTTGCTATGGGGATGGGGACGTCCCATGGAGATGCCACCTTGGGGATGGGGACGTCCAGTGGGGATCCCACCCTAGGGATGGGGGCGTCCTGTGGGAACCCTCACTGTGGGAATGGGGCTGTCCCATGGGGATCCCCCGCTGTGGGGATGGGGACATCCCAGGTGGACCCCACCATGGGGATGGGCATATCTCATGGGGAACCCCACCATGGGGATCGTGACGTCCCATGGGGATCCCAACCTGGGGATGGGGACATCCCATGGGGACCCCCACCATGGGGATGGGGACATCCCATGGGGATCCCAACCTGGGGACGTGGATGTCCCATGAGGCCCCCACCGCGGGGATGGGGCTTGCCTTGCCCAGCTTTGGGGAAGGCACCCAGGCATCTGGGGCCAGTGAAGCCTCACCGTAGTTGAACTTGGCCGTATGCTCCATCATGGGCACGGCCACAGTGCTGCCATCGGGCTTGTGGAAGAGGCGGCGGCGGGTGGAAGTGACCGGGAAAGGATGCAGCCAGGCACCTTTGAAGTACACGGCGGTGGCCAGCACCAGGCGGGTGCTGGGGCCCACGGCACCAGGCGGCAGGAAGCCCTGGATCATCCCTGCGGAGGAGATGGGCAGTTCTGGGGACCTTGGCTTGCTGGGCAAGGACCCCGGCGTCTGGGCTGCGTGCTGCCCCAGAGGCCCCCTTGTCCCCCCATAGACCTCGGCGTTGGGCGGGAGGGTCCTCGGCACCCTGTCCCATCCCCACAGCTCCCTCTTCTTCCCCCGGGGACCCAGGTGTCCCAGCACCCCTCCACCCAAGGTACCCAGGTGTCCCATCACCCTCCATCCAAGGGATCCAAGCATCTGGGCTCCAGCCCCCCCCCCCCCCCCACCCAAAAAAGGATCCCAGGCATCCAAGCCTCACCTTGTGTGTGGTTCTGCACCCAGGCGTTGAGGACAGCGCGCGCCTGCTGGGGCTGCCTGAAGTCGACCTGGGCCAAGCGCCAGCCGAGCGCCCGGGC